GCCCGTTGTTCTTGCGCTTATATTACGTTATTCGGAACACAGAAATCAGTCTCAGTAGACCACTTACCCTGAATAAGGAAAAGCTGGATTTGCATTGTGGGTGGACGTGGCGTGGGCTCTGTTTCCACCTCCCCCTAACCTGCCTGTAGAGAGGAAGGACAGGCGTACTGGGTTGTGTGGGCACTGTTCTCTCCCGTCCCAGGTCGTATAGACAGGGAAGACAGAAGGTAGTGGACAGTCTCCCTTCCTCCCACCTAACAACAGACAGGGAAGAGAGGTAGTGGACAGTGTTCCCTCCCGTCCCAGGTCGTATAGACAGGGAAGACAGAAGGTAGTGGACAGTCTCCCTTCCTCCCACCTAACAACAGACAGGGAAGAGAGGTAGTGGACAGTGTTCCCTCCCGTACCAGGCCGTATAGACAAGGAAGACAGAAGGTAGTGGACAGTGTTCACTCCCCCCTTACCTGGCAGCACAGCTCCTCCGGCCCAGCATCAGAGTCATGGCTCTGGTTACCTGATTGGCTTTGTCTTCTCTCCATCTTATCTATATTCACTCAGTCTGCAGCTTAACGCCTCTTCTTCGTGCTAGATAAAACTTGACCGTGTTCTCAGTATAATGCATCTTTAATTATTATTTACAACTTTTACGTAAACATTTCTCTTTAGCTTTATCTCAAGACGTTTTGCAACTTAAGCTCTCTCAAGCTTAATTCCTGTATTACAAATAAGTTCTTTTTAATCTTTCTCACGAGCATTAGTTACGTGGCAAGATTCCTTTCTAATAATGCGTTGAATTCTCATTTACACTTTTCTCGGCACACACTTTGCAACACACTTTTGGTTATCAATATACTTGTATGACTTAGTTTTGCAATGAGTTGATTAATACTCATTTTCTTTTCGATACGTACACGCTTAAGATCTCCGTCTTGCATGTGCAAGCGACACCTTAACTACTCCCGTGTCTTAAGTACTCCTCCCCCCCCCTATCCCTACCCCCCCCCCCGCTTCCCCACCTGCCAACCCCCCTGCTGGACACTGCTACTCGGATACACGTGATACTAATCCCATCACTCTTGCTACATATTCAAATCCAGATCATTTCTCTTGCATTTTTATTGCTCGAGGTTGCGACCGCTCTCCAAGCTCTCAGTGTCTGCTGCTGCTGCTGCCGTTGCTGCTGCTGCTGCTGCTGCTGCTGCTGCTGCCGTTGCTGCTGCTGCTGCTGCTGTTGCTGATACTGCTGGTGCTGGTGCTGCTTCTCCAGTTCGTTGCTTCCCTTTCAGGAGAGCCTGCCAGGTGGTGTGCTTCTCTGTGTCTTGGGGATGTATACGCCGGGATTAAGCAGGAGATATGGACAGGCGTGAAGGGCCAAGTTTGAGCATGAGAGGTTGAGGCCAGTCTCAAGGAAAATATGAGGTTCAGTTTGATGGCGAAATTGATATCCAGTTTGAGGGTAACCCTCAAGGTGTACTCAACTGTTTGTGCTTGCGGGGGTTGAGCTCTGGCTCTTTGGTCCCGCCTCTCAACTGTCAATCAACTGGTGTACAGGTTCCTGTCCCTACTGGGCTCTATCATATCTACATTTAAAACTGTGTATGGAGTCAGCCTCCACCACATCACTGCCTAATGAATTCCATCCGTTAACTTCTCTGACACTGAAAAAGTTCCTTCTAGCGTCCCTGTGGCTCATGTGGGTTATTTTGAGATGAGATGATTTCGGGGCTTTAGTGTCCCCGCGGCCCGGTCCTCGACCAGGCCTCCACCCCCAGGAAGCAGCCCATGACAGCTGACTAACTCCCAGGTACCTATTTACTGCTAGGTAACAGGGGCATTCAGGGTGAAAGAAACTTTGCCCATTTGTTTCTGCCTCGTGCGGGAATCGAACCCGCGCCACAGAATTACGAGTCCTGCGCGCTATCCACCAGGCTACGAGGCCCCTTAGTTTCAGTTAGGGTACTCAGTTTCCACCTGTGTCCCTTGTTCGCGTACCACTAGTGTTGAATAGTTTACCCTTGTTTACCCGGTCGATTCCCCTGAGGATTTTGTAGATTGTGATCATG